GGGGCTCGAACCCACGAACCGCGAGATCATGACCTGAGTGAAAGTCGGACGCTTAACCGACTAAGCCACCCGGGCGCCCCTTTGGGATTTCTGTTGTAAGGAATTTAATGTAGCCAATGGACACTTGTCTTTTTTAAAAATTAATTAATTAATTATTTATTTTTGAGAGAGTTTGAGCAGGGGAAGGGCAGAGAGAGAGGGAAATGCAGAATCCAAAGCAGGCTCCAGGCTCTGAGCTGTCAGCACAGAACCCGACGTGGGGCTCAAACGATGAGATCATGACCTGAGCTGAAGTCAGATGCTTAACCGACTGAGCCACCCAGATGCCCCAGGAAACTTGTCTTTTTAAAAGATATACTCTTTACTTTCATGTTTACATTTTATAAGTCAAAGAAAACAAAATGAAAGAAAAGCATCAAATGAATTTCTTCAGCTGTAATAATAGAACAAGTTCAAGATTTTTTAATGAGGGGGGGAAGAGTGAGATGGTTTAGAGTTCATTTTGTTGGAATTCTTAGAAATGGGACAGTTTACCTACAAACATGGTCCTTTTATGAAAATCCTTCCTCAAAAAAGCAATGTAATAGATTCAAGCCATCCAGAGGTATGTGCTAGATTTGAGCCATGCCTGCCTTATTTTTATTGTTTTCTCCAACTAGATTATGTTACCAGTGTGTAAGTTATAGATAAGGAAGGCTAGCTCTTTATATCGCTTTGTCATATACAGTAGTTTGGAAACTTAATTGTTTCACAGTTATGCCTACTGCTCAAAGAGTGGCTATTGGGCCAGCAGCATTGGCAACATTTGGGAACTTCTTAGAAATGCATAATCTCAGACTCCATTCCAGACCTGCCAAATATGAATCTGTATTTTAACAAGATTGCTACTTGATTTGATCTTAACATTTAACAAGTACATATACAGAATGTACTAAACATGAGTTGTGAATTTGTTTATCTGTATATTTTTTGTTTAGTATCCAAAAAATATTAGAAACTATTAGTCCTGTAACACAAACTATTTTCTAGGAACCCCATTTGCTTTTAGCCTTACTACCTACAAATTAAAAGCTATTTTAGTGGCACCTGGGTGGCTCAAGTCAGTTGAACATCCTACTTTGGCTCAGGTCATGATCTCACGGTTCATGGGTTTGAGCCCCTCATCGGTCTCGTGCTGACAGCTCAGAGCCTAGAGCCTGCTTTGGATTCTGTGTCTCTCTCTCTCTTCCCCTCCCAATCTTGCACTCTGTCTCTCAAAAATTAATAAACGTTTTTTAAAAACAGCTATTTTAAAGGTGTTATTTCTGAAGCATGTGAGCACTATTTGCATTCTTAAAAGTATGAATCCTATATGTTTTTATTACAGGTCTTGGGTTTGGGCTATACAGTTTTATTAGATTTTTCTAAAAATGTATGTATTTCTAAAAATATTACTTGTATATCAAAAGTGCTAAGAGTAAACTTTAGGATAAAGTTGTAATTATGTACTTGCTGTTAGTGAAACAAGGTTGAAAAGATGATTTACTATATAGTTTAAGAGTTAAGAATGCAGGCTATGGAATCTGTCTAGGAAATCATAACTGAGGGGCACTTTTGCTTAATCAATTTCCTACTCTGTGCAATGGAGATAATATTCACCTCCTTTAGCTATTATGAGGATTAAATGAGATAAATATGGAAGGCTCTTAAGACATGGTCTGGCACTCATTAAGTGTTCGTTATTATTACTCAGTTAATAAATATGAAAGAAAAGGCAAAGAAACCCTACATATCTTAATATTATTAATTTAATTTAATTTTAGAAATACCAAAGGGGTTAAATTATATTATCTTCCAGGAAGCCTTATACTTTGAAGAGGTTTTTAACTGCTTTTTTCTCCTCTGCTTTTTATGTGGGGAAAAATTCATATTTTGTTTTAGTTAGCTTTTGAATCGAGGCTAGTATATTTTATCTAAAGATCGTAGCATTTGTACTGAAGTTGAAACAGATGACGGACGAAGTCAATTTTAGATATAACTAAAGTCTCATTCATTGAAACTTTATGAAATCAGAATTGTGATAAACTGTATGCAGGTGTTTATATATAAAGAAAAAGAAAATATACTAGTACTGTTAATACATTTTGAGGAGATACTGATTAAAGTAGAAAACTGTTTTGGACTTTTTAGAAGCTAGTGTTTATAATCAAAACCTTGTGGATCAGAACCTTGTGGGCAAAGGAGTAGTTGCTTAACCATATTTCTATATATGTGGTAGAGTTTCATTTAAGTGGTCCCTTTCTATCCAGGTTTTTAAAAAGTAAGTTTGCATTATAGTCTTGCATCATAGTACCAATCTTTGTCTACGGTACCTTGGAGTTTTTGGAAGCCATATGTAAGTTTTTAATGTTTATTTATTCATTAAACACATTTTTATTTAGGGGGCCTGAGTGGCTCAGTCAGTTAAGCATCCAACTCTTGATTTCCACTCAGGTCATGACCTCATGGTTTGTGAGTTTGAGTCCTGCATCAGGCTCTGTGCTGACAGAGCTGAGCCTGCTAGGGATTCTGTCTTCCTCTCTCTCTCTCTGCCCCTCTCCCACTTGATCTCTATTTCTCTTTCAAAATAAATAAAAATAAACTTAAAAAACTTTTTTAAAAAATTATTTAAATACCCCCAAATATTTATTGAAAACCTACTATGTGTGCCAGGCCCTAAGCTGGATATCATTGGTAACTAAAAACTACAATATGACAGAGGTTTAAGATCATGAAATCTGGAGTCAGACTGGTAATATATTAACTGAATGATCCTAGACAAGTTACTTTAACTTCTTGGGCTGTGGTTTCTCTTTTTTTCGTTCTTTCTTTTTAAAAAAATTTTAATTCCAGTATAGTTAACATACAGTGTTATGTCAGTTTTAGGTGTACAATATAGTGAATTGACAATTCTATACATTACTTAGTGCTCATTATGATAAGTGTTCTTGATCCCCTTCACCTGATTTTTTTATTCCAGTATAGTTAACGTGCAGTGTTGTATTAGTTTCAGCTGTACAGTATAATGATTTAGCAATTCCATATATTGCTTAGTGCTCATCAAGAGAAGTGTGCCCTTAATCCCCTTCACGTATTTTCCCCTTGCCTCCCTCAACCATCTCTTTTTTCTCTATAGTTAAGAGTCCTTTTTTTTTTCTCTCTCTTTTTTTCCCCTCTGTTTGTTTTGTTTCTTAAATTCCATGTATGAGTGAAATCATATGGTATTTGTTTTGCTCTGATTGGCTTATTTCATTTAGCATTGTATTCTCTAGATCTATCCATGTTGTTGCAAATAGCAGGGTTTCTTTCTTATGGATGAATAATATTATCCATTCATCTACTGATGAACCCTTGGGCTGCTTCCATAATTTGGCTATTGTAAATAATGCTGCAATAAACATAGGGATACATACACCTTTTCAAACTAGAGTCGTTATGTTCTTTGGGTAAATACCTGGTAGTACAATTACTGGACTGTAGTATAGTTCTATTTTTAACTTTCTGAGGAACCTCCATACTGTTTTCCACAGTGGCTGCACCTGTATATATTCTTACCAACACTGCACGAGGGTTCCTTTTTCTTCACATCCTTGTCAACATTTGTTTCTTGTGTTTTTGATTTTAAAGATTTTGTTTGTAAGTAATCGCTACACCAATGTGGGGCTTGAACTCATGACCCCAAGATTAAGAGTCACATGCTCCACTGACTGAGCCAGCCAGGTGCCCCATGTTTTTAGCCATTTTGATAGGTGTGAGGTGATAGTTCATTGTGGTTTTGATTTGCATTTCCCTGATGATAAGTGATGTTGAGCTTCTTTTCATGTGTCTATTTGCCATCGGGATGTCTTCTTTGCAGAAATGTTTGTTCATGTCTTCTGCTCATTTTTAAATTAGATTATTTGTGGGTTTTTTTGTGTTGAGTTATGTAAATTTTAAGATATATTTTGGATACTAACCTTTTATTGGATATATTGTTTGCAAATATCTTTTCCCATTCAGTAGGTATCTTTTGGTTTTGTTGGTTGTTTCCTTTGCTGTGCAGAAGGTTTCTCTTTTGATGTAGTCCTGTAGCAGGATTCTTGCGCAGAGAGTTGTGACCCTGAGGCTTTTGGGAAGCAACTTTGTTTGTACCGGCATGGCTCAGTTGGGTTTATACCGGAAGAATTGAGCTCCGAATGCCACGTGGCATAGTTTTGTAATATATTCTTTACTTCTTTGTCTCCCATATATGGTAACACACAAACATGCAGTCTGATTAAGTGGTCTCATGTTACAAGGTCATGAGGGATATTGTCACGTATAGCCAGGTTGCCTTGAGGGTTTTTTTTCTTTCTTTAGGAGGGGACCCTACCACAGTCCCAGTAGTTTATTTTTGCTTTTGTTTCCTTTGCCTCAGGAGACATCTAGAAACATGCTGCTATGGCTCTGGCCTCTGTTTCTTATATGTCAAACAGTCCCCTCCCCACCCCACAGGGTTATTATGAGGATAATGAGCAATATAAGTAATGCTTGTAGAATAGTAACTGGTCCATTTTAATTGTTATGTAGTGTTGTTGTGGTTGTTGTTGTTTTAAGACAAACATAATCCTTATTCTTGATGACTTTCTAGTCTAATGGAAGAGACAAAAAAATAGTAAATATAAAACATTTATTATAATAAATGTTATGAAGGCGATAAACAGGGTACTGACATGAATAGCAGAGTTGGGGATAGGATAGATAGAATAGCCAATTGAAGGCCTCTCTGAAGAGGGTCACATTTAAAAGGGTCATGAAGGATGGAAAGGAGCCTTTTAGACCACCTGCAATATCTAATGCAGAAGCCAAATAATTAAGTCCTTTTTCCTAAATGTCAATCATGGATTATTCCGAAAGAAAAGAATTAATGAGATTTAGTTAAGAATAGTTAAGAATCTTTCAGCAATTTTATTATGCTGGAATTAAGAAAGTATGTGCCAAAATGTTGTTTCACTTACCTGTATAACTTTGGGATGACTTCTTGATAACCCTAGGAAACCCAGTTTTCAATTTGTCCCTTGCTTCTTAGAATCTGCTTCACAATTAGCATGATTGATAAGTGGTAGAAAGGAGTTAACTGGTAGCTACAGTTGTTAGCCTAGTTTATATGTTGCTTTATGCTCTAAAATTGGTCCCAGGAATCCCTATTAGCCATTCATAAGATTTAGATTATGTGATAAATCACATCTCATTTTGCAATTCATAAGGCTACCTTGCTAAAATTGAGGAGCATATGGGGCACTTGGGTGGCTCAGTTGGTCAAGGATCTGACTCTTGGTTTCGGTTCAGGTCATGATCTCATGGTTGGTGAGGTTGAGCCCTGCCACAAGCGCTGCACTGATAGCATAGACATTGCAGAGCCTGCTTGGGATTCTCTCTCTGCCCTTCCCCTACTTGTGTGGTTCTCACTGTCTCTCAAAATAAATAAAAGTAAACATTAAAAAAATAAAATAAAATTGAGGAGCATGGGGCAGAGATGGTAAAGTTTTGATAAACTTTAATAATATATAATGGCGTGGTCAGGAAGAATATATAATGCTGAGAGCAATAGATTGGTGTCCTCTAGTTTACCAGAAACCTTCATTTGTTGATTTGAAAGATAGGATTCTATCTGAGAAGTTTGGAAGATAATGTGTAGATCTTGTAGGAGATTATAATATCTTTTATAGATAAATATTTAATCTTAATATCACTTACATTTGCTATAACATTTTTTCTTCTTCATGCATTTACTGGCCGCATTATTATAGGTAAAACTGTATAGAGCATATTTTGTGAAATGTCTTTATTACTGACTTGATGTCATGGATATGTAGCCTGCTCAGGAAGAACAGAGAGAAGACCCAGATTTTGAAACTAAGGAAGGAGGAGGACTTGAAGAGTGCTCTAAAATAGAAGTGAAAGAAGACAGTCCTGAATCGAAAGCAGAAAGAGAATTGAAAGGTTCCCAGAAATCAATCAGAAGACACAGAAACATGCATTGCAAGGTTTCTTTGTTGGATGACACTGTTTATGAATGTGTGGTGGAGGTGAGTGCATTTTAATTTCCGTGGTCAGAATCCTTACAGATTGTTCTATGTAGGGTTGAGTAAGTAGTGTCAGTGACTGTGTCTGTAGACTGAAATGTTAATAGTAATTTTCTGGAAGTGGAGGTGTGGAAGGGTTATGGGTGAGTCTTCTTTTTTTCTCCAGTTTTTTTCTGTCTCTGCCAAATCTTTTGAATTAAGCATGTGTTACTTTTAGAATCTAAAATAATTTTGTTTCAAAGCAATTGGTTTGTTATTTATAGAGTGACCTGGCATGACTAGATTTTCCAGGTAGCCTCAATTTCTGATATTAGGTTTAGTTATCCCTGTAATTGTATTTGTCAGAAAATTACTATGTGCTCATTTCTGCTGTCCCAGATCTAAACCTTAATAAGCTTTGGTTTGTTCAGTGTATTTCTTGAACCCCATGAAATAGGATATAAAAAATTTAAATCAAATAATGTCATTTCTTAAAACACTCTATTATTTTCTGAAAGAATAAGTAATTGAGTTGGGATTTAATAAAAATATCAATTACTTGGTTACTCTTTTGCTCCTTCAAGGCAAGTTTAAACTCCTTAAAAATCTAGGGGTGTCTGGGTGACTGAGTCGGTTAAGCGTCTGACTTTGGCTCAGGTCATGATCTCGTGGTTCATGGGTTTGAGCCCTGCGTCAGGCTCTGTGCTGACAGCTAGCTCAGAGCCTAGAGCCTGTCTTCAGATTCTGTGTCTCCCTCTCTCTCTGCTCCTCCCCTGCTCACACTGTGTCTCTTTCTCTCTCTCAGAAATAAATAAAAACATTAAAAAAAATATTTAAACCCCTTAAAAATCTAGTAACTATTTTTTAACTAGAGCAGTAATTTTCAATTATGATATGCTTCCTGATAATTATTACTAATAACAGCCTTTATTGATAAGACATATACAATTCACATATACTTGTATCTTAGGTATGTAATAAATATGTCTGAATTGAATTATCTATATGCAACTACATCAAAGCACTAATAGTCCAAAATATTATACTCTATTACAAAACATTCCTTTTCCAAGTTTTAAAAAAGAAACCTAGAAAAATAAACTATTGCACTTTGAAACTAGTCACTATACCTGGTAACTAGAGACCTAGTTAGATTCTCTTTCTGCTACTCATCTCTAGCTAGTTGAGCTATCAGGAAAGCTATTCCACACTCATTCTTCCCATTCAGACCAAGATCCAGATATGGGTCCCTTATTTCTGAAACATTTGGAGGCCGATACATTTCAGAATTCAGAATGTTTTGGGTTTTAGAAAGCCAATTATTTACTTATGCTGTGTATTTCATAACACGCCCACCAGGGTGTGTGGCAGTACCAAGATTCATTCTAAGACGGGTAAGTAAAGATCATCAATAGCCTCATAACCGTTGAGGACAGAATTTGCCTTCAAATGAACTTTGGGCACCCTCCCCCCAGAAAAAAAAAAAGCCTAAAATTTTACTTTTTAGAGCTTTTGGATTTTGGAACTATAAATAAAGGAATAGGGACCTATACATGAATAATTCCCAAATTATTTCTGTCATTTGGAGTGAAAACAGAAGAGGAAAAAGCATGAAGAAAATGATGTCCTATAGATGGGTTAAGTCTGAAGATGACTGAACATCTATGTAAATTAGTAACAGTTGTTAAAAGCAACTCTGCTCATTGAGAGAAGGAATGTCATTTGTGTGTCAAAAAAAGATTTCTAATTTTTTGAGGTATTTAAAAAATATTTCTCAGCAGTTGTTAGCATGTTTGATATTTTTCAACAATTCAAGTAAATAGATAAGATGGATATAAATACTCCATTTTACGTATAAGAAAGCTAATGTTCAAAAATATTAACTGAATTAACCCAGGTTATAGCTTGTAAATGGAGGAGCCAGGACTTTTTGAGTATACATCTTAGCCTCTAAGTTAGGCTAAGTAGGAGTATTAGTACCCAAATTTGGCAGTGGTAGGGTTTCCTAGGTAAAGAAACATTAAGAGGGGCGCCTGGCGAGCTCAGCCGGTTGAGCGTCTGACTTCAGCTCAGGTCATGATCTCACGTTTTGTGGGTTCGAGCCCCGCGTCGAGCTCTGTGCTGACAGCCAGCTCAGAGCCTGGAGCTTGTTTCAGATTCTGTGTCTCTGTCTCTCTCTGACCCTCCCCTGCTCATGCTGTCTCTCTCTCTCTCTCTCTCAGAAGTAAAACATTTTTAAAAATTTTAAAAATAGAAAAGAGATACAGGCTAAAAAAAAAAAAAAGAAACATTAAGAAAATGATTTGTAGCACACCTGAAAAAGCACTGCAACAGGTAATGTGTCTAGTGTATCTAAAATTTTAGACTTTGTGCGGTTTTCAGTAATTCATTCTCTTGGGACATTTGGTCTGAGAATGGTAGACAGTCTAATGATTTCCATAGACACTATTAACTGTCAATATTGACAGCAGATTCAGTGAGTTTAGGTGGTCATGATGACAACAGCCTGTAGCAAGCTTCAGGAAATACTACACCAAAAATAAAGAATGTGACATTCATGATGGAGGTAGGGAATAGTCGATGAAGGGAAGGTTCAAAATTTTGCTTTCAATTCTAGCACTAGTTCCAGGCCACTCAGTGTGTTGCATTTTAAGCTGACAAATTAAGAAACAAGATTTTTATTACCTACCATTGTTCTACTTACGCTGTATAACCATCTGAAAGTAGTGGTAACCAAGGATAAAAGAGGAAATTGGAAAGTGACATTTTATTTTTTTTGGTGATAAATACAAGAATAAGAGGAAACCTCAAAATGTATATGTCTTTGCAGAAACATGCTAAGGGACAAGATTTGCTTAAACGAGTGTGTGAGCACCTCAATCTTTTGGAAGAGGACTACTTCGGTCTAGCCATTTGGGATAATGCAACCTCTAAGGTGAGGAGACTGCTTGTCAGAAAATTTGTTTTAGTCTTATATTGTTAAGGATGTATTTATGCCTGCCTCTCCAAGACACAGTGCACTTAAGAGTTATTCTTGCCTATTCTCGTTTCTCAGATTTTCCCTCTAAAACAAAACATCTTCAAGAAAAAAAAAATCATTGCTGGGGCATCTGGGTGGCTCAGTCAGTTAAACATCCAACTCTTGATTTCAGCTCAGGTTGTGACTTGATTTCAGCTCAGGTCATGATCTTCAGGTGGTTCACGGGTTTGAGCCCTGCATTGGACTCTGTGCTGATGGTGTGGAGCCTGCTTGGGATTCTGTCTCTCCCCTTTCTTTCTGCCGCTACCCCACTTGCTCTGTCTCTCAAAAAGAAATGAACAAACTTAAAAAACATTTAAGAAAAGGAAAAGATCGTTGGTGGTGTGTTCTTTTATCATTGAGAGAAATGATCTACTATTCTATATTTTTAATTTTTTAATGTTTATTTACTTTTGAGAGGGAGACAGAGTGTGAACCGGGGAGGGGCAGAGAGTGGGAGACACAGAATCTGAAGCAGTCTCCAGTCCCTGAACTGTCAGCACAGAGCCTGACATGGGCCTTGAACTCACAAACCACATGATCATGACATGAACTGAAGTCGGACGTTTAACCAACTGAACCACCCAGGCACCCCTGTACTATATTTTTAAAAGATTGGAGGTACAGAGCTATGATGTCCTGATTAGCAAGTAACACCAATAACTTCATATGTTATGCAGTTAGAATTGTATTTAATAGGTTCATAATAAATATTTGTTGAATGGATGATCTACCAATATTATAATTATAGGATAATTATGGCATGTAGTTTGAGAGCAATTTTATAAAAGAGAATAAAGTCTCAATATTATTGAAATAGTCCTACATCAAATCTGACATTTTCTTCCAGCCCAAAAGAAAACCAGTAGTAAACTTTTGAAAGAAGTAAAAGAAAGTGAGAGAACATAGAGAGGGGAGTAAAGGTTAAAAGTCAGATGTTTATTTCAGAAAACTTGAATTATTTCGTGGGCCAATTTACTGAAAATTACAAATATTTAGCTTAAAAGCTAGTGATGAAAACTTTAGTACAGTTTAATAAGTCTTTGCAAGTGCTTTATAAGATGATGTGGATATGGCTGTGAATAAGATAGACACGGTCCCTTCCCTCTGGCACTTATGGTTTAGTGGATGAGTGTTACACAAAAAGAAATACAAGATGTCATGAAAGGGTATGGCCTGGGAAGTCTTCTCTGGGAAAGTGATGCCTGAGCCAAGAACTGAAGGATTAAGTAGACAAGTGAAGTGGAGAGAGAATGGCTTGTTTAAAGGGCTAGAATTGAGAGAGTGGCACTTGAGGAACGGGGAGCCTGACTAAACATAGGGAGTGAGGAATAGAGTAATAGACAAGTCTGGAGTGCTACACAGCAGCCAGGTCATGGAGAGAGAGTTTTGTATACAGTGTATTTAGAGCCATTTCCGGGGCGCCTGAGTGGCTCAGTTGGTTGAGCATTCAACTCTTGGTTTCAGCTGGGTCATGATCCCAGGGTCATGGGATTGAGCCCTGCCTCTGGCTCTGTGCTGAGCATGGAGCCTGCTTAAGATTCTCTCTCTCTCTCCCTGTGCCCCTCTCCCCTGCTCCTGCATTCTCTCTCTAAAGCTAAAAAAAATAAAACAACAACAAAAAAGCCATTTTAGTTGGTTCTTTCTCCAAGATAATCTATATTTATTAAGAAAAGTTGAGGCATGCCTGGGTGGCTCAGTTGGTTATGCGTCCGACTTTAGCTCAGGTCACGATCTCCTGGTTCACGAGTTTGAGCCCTGTGTCAGGCTCTGCACTATCAGTGGGATTCTCTGTCTCCCTGTCTCTCTGCCCCTCAGATAAACAAACATTTTTTTTTAAGTGACTAATATAAAAGCTGAACAGCAAAGTATAAGCCTGGCTGTATAAAAAAAGTCATTATTATCCCTTTTAGATCAAATATTTCTGGAAGAGAAAAGCTTTTGTCTCAGAGTCATAATCTAGTTTCAACTTCCCTGATAGTTTATAAGAGCTACTTAGGGGCAAGTCAGTGGGTAAGTAAATCCTGGGAAACATAGGGCTTATCATATTCAGGGCCTTTGGCAGGCCTGTAGTAGGGTCCAGGTTCTTAGAGGATATCCAACAGGAACGTGGTCAGAAGCAATGAGCTGTTCTATATTTTCTGCTTCTAAATTCATTGTGGCCAACCTTCAGCTCTCAGAAATAGGTCAAAGCAGAGGGGTTTTTTGGGGGGTTAAAATGAGGGTCTTTAGGCTGATCCAGGTAGTAGGGTATAGTAGGGAAAGCAGGAACTTGCCAGGCAAATCTTGTACCAAAATAAATTTTGAGAAGATTTACCTTAGCATTGTCAGGTTAAAGGGACAGTACAGTAGCAAAAGCCACCTTGGTGATGACAATACTTCTTCCATAGGCTATCTCTTGAGTTATACTTCTTTAGGGTGGATGAGTTGCTCTGCTGTCTTATACATAGTTGTCCCTGGTATTTACCATCACCATCATCCTGGGGATTTTTTTTAAGTTTATTTTTATTTTGAGAGAGAGAGAGAATGTGAGCCAGGGAAAGGAGGGAGAGAGAAAAATCCCAAGCACGCTCCACAATCAGCATGGAGCACAATGTGGGATTCCATCCCATGACCCTGGGATCATGACCAGTTCTGAAATCAAGGGTCAGATGCTCAACTGACTAAGCCACACAGGCACCCCAATCCTGGGGACTTGATTTACCTTTCTCCTGTGATATTTCTCTTATCTCCTTCATCCCAGCTTTTTCTTGTGTTTTGATAGAGTGCTTCTTCTGAGGAAGAAGGAGCACATGAGACGTACTTGTTGAGACATTTTATGTCTGAAAAAGGTCTATTCTACCTTCACATTTGGTTGTTAGTTTGGTTGGGTATAGAATTTTATACTTGAAGCATCATAATTTTGAAGGCATTGCTCCCTTGTCTTCTAGCTTCCAGTGTTGCTATTGAGAAAGCCAAAGCCATTCTAATTCTTGATCTTTTGTATGACCTTCCCTTTGCAGAATTAAGCTAGTAGAGTCTTATTTTCTTCCCTTTCCTTTCCTTTCTTCCTCTGTCCCTCCATCCCTCCGTCCCTTCCTCTCTTCTCCTCTCTTCTCCTCTTCTCTTTTTTCCTTCCCTCCCCTTTCCTTTCCTCTCCTCTCCTTCCCTTCCCTTTCCTTTCCTCTCTTTCCCTCCCCTTTCTTCCCCTCCCTTTTCCTCCCCTCCCCCTTCCTTCCCCTTCCCTCTTTTTCCCTCCTCTTCTGTCTCCTTTCCTTTCTTCCCTTTCCTCCTCCCTCTATCTATCAACCTTGTGGCATGCATTCCATAAATGTTTAAGATTGAGATGTATTATTAAGCTTTAGAGAACAGATTTGTCACTTAATACTTGTGAGATAGGTAAGTTACTTATACTTCTTTTTTTCCTCATTGGTAAACCGGGAATTATAATGAAACAATCTACATAAAAAAGCATGTAGAATGGTACATGGCATATGTATTATTTTAAAGTGAAATTACCAACTAAACAATGTTTTTACTTTAAAAAATTAGATCTGTATGTCATAATCTAGAGGTGCATTCCGGAGCATTGTTCAAGTTCAGTAATCTACCTGATCTTTCTTGGGTTGAATGATTTACCTGGAGAACAGCATACTCTTTCCTTAAAATTGATATATCTAGCCATATTATTTGATTTCATTTTATTTTATTTTTGTATTTAAAATTTTTTTATAGGTATAGTCAAATGGCCAAAATAGAGGTACCAATTTAATTTACAACAATAGAGAGACCCTGTTTCCCCACACTCCTCACCAACCCATGATGCTAGCAAACTTTTTACGTTTGCCATATGAATAGTAGGGAAAAACCAAATCCAAGGCTTGCTTTCGAACCACAGCCCCAAGTCCTTGGTTTGGGCCCACACCTTCCCCTGCCCAAAACAGGTGAGGAAAGAGTTCCTCAGCCTTGTAAGTTTGAGCCCAGCATGGAGCCAGTCTCCTTGTTGGCTATCTGGAAGAGACAAGTCCTTACAGACCAGCTTAGAAATGCCACCTCTTGGGGCGCCTGGGTGGCTTAGTTGGTTAAGCGTCCGACTTTCGCCACCTCTTTATTGACCCAGGTTGGTGGCAGAGGGTACTGTGAGCCAAGGGGAGAAAGCTCACTCTCACTCCACCTGGCTCTCAGTCTGGTGGTGGCTGCTTTGGAGACAGAGCAGGAAGCGTCTTTGGCCAAAGGCCTGCTTGCAGCTGGGGCAGTGATGCCCAGGCCATGGCCTTGTTGCCTGGTGCCGTGCAGGGAGATGGGGATGACACAGGCTATGAGCCGATGAAAAAGCCCGTGGGGCACTGCCAGTGAGAATAGGGGTGGGCATGGTGGCATGGTGTGTGTGGCAGTGGGCTGCAAGTTTGGAGGGGTAGCAGAAGGATTGGGGGCCATGAGGGCACTAGTAGGGGTGGGCTGGCACATGCACCCAGATGTGGGCCGCCAGCTTGGAGCCAAAGGCCTTTGGGCAGTGTAGGCACAGGTATGGGCAGGCATTCACTGTGCATGAGGGGGTGGGCTGCCAGCTTCAAGGTAAGAGAAGGCTTTGGGGCAGTCGAAGCACGGATGGGGGCTCTGCCATGTGGCAGCCGGTATGTGGCCAGCTTGGACTGGTAAGAGAAAGCCTTGTCACAGTCGCAGCTGCAGCAGCATGCGCACTGGGGTAGGGCTGCCGGAGGGGCCTGGAAGGCACCCCCATGGAAGTGGCAGGCCCTGGAACTAACTTTCTGAGCTTCTGCGGTGAGCCCTGGTGGGGAGCTCCTCCCTTGGTTTCTCGTTCCTTAACAGTGGAACTAGGATCAGTGTCCCCGGCTGACTCTGCATCTTTTGAGTCTCGTTCCAGCATCTTGCTGGCCCAGGAATCTAGGGAGCGGTAGGTGATGCCAGTGATTGTC